GACATTTATATACCTTATGAAGTGATCACCATGAGAACTCTAGTGCTTATATAAAAATTTTAATGCAGTGTAAATGTGCTTTTTTTTTTTTTTTTTTTTTTTTTTTTTTTTTTTTTTTTTTTGCAGCTCAGCGGCTGCTCAGCTCGGGCTGGACTTGAACCGCTCTTGCTCAGAGCTCAAACTCTTGAGCGAGCTCTTAACCAACTGAGCCACTCGGCTGGCCCCTCTATGGTTTTTGATTATTAAGTTAAAAATGTAACTAATGCAGTCCTTTATTACTTCAAGTAGAGATTTTATTTTTCTTTATTATTTAACAATATTTAATAGTTTATTCTAGAATAGCTCCATATTACACTTATTTTCTTTTTATGATTTAAACATAATTATAATAAAATATTTATGTACTCAGCATATTCTAATACAAAATATCCATGCAATCTTTTGTATTCATCCGTTTGATATACTGAAATGAGTTTACTCTTGTAATATAGCTGTTTCCAGCAGATGGCACTATTTAGCTTAAAATGTGAGCTTTATAACTAACGTGACCTTGTAATTTATCCTTCAAAGGGAACATTTTTGATAGAGAGAGGGGACACAATTAATAGTAGTTACACTCTGGTAGCAGACATAAGTAGGACAATCCCAGTGCCTCCAGTTACTCTATAAATAGACTATTTAGTTTATACACATTCATTCAATAAATACTGAGCCTCCACTAGGCGCTAGATAACGTAGATAACTAAAATGAGACATATCCTGATTCTAAAGGAGCTTTAGGATTCAAAAAGTAATAATATATGCGAAAGAAAATGTTATAAATTAGTGCTATTTGATATTTTATTTATAGCAAAAATGCATCTTAAAGGCATATTGATGGAAAATACAGATCTAATTATGTTCTTATGACTATTTGTAACTACCAAATGTATCATCAGTCTTAGTAATAAAAGGTACAATGTATTTTTCTCATTTTTTCAGATATTAGATATTGTCCGTATATTACATATAATTAACACAAACTTGAATGTCTTCATTGGTTTGAAGTTAAAATTAATGAATTAAACTTAATTTTGTTTGAGTTTAAAACAAATTTTTTTTTTCTATTTCCATTGAAGGTTCTCAGAGCACACATATTGCCACTGACTAATGTTGCACTTAATAAATCGGGCTCTTGGTAAGGTTTTCTATTTCTTTAAAAAAATTATTAGAATTAATTAATTATTATTATTATTATTTATTATTATTTATTTAAAGATTTTTATTGGGGAATTGGGGGGATGGGAACAGCGCTTGGGAATTGGGGAAGGGGAACAGACAAGTTGCTGCTGTTTTTGTTCTTCAGTCTAGTTGTGGAGGACGTTGCTTCTCTGGCCCAAGTTGGCACCATCATTGCGCTCTTCCTGGGCGAGGCAGATCAGTCGCTGGCTTCAGAAGCCGCTCATGCTGGCTGCTGGCTACATACGGTAGCCCATGGCAACCCACTGCCACAGGGGCTGCAGCCTACGCCATCACCAGCGACTCAGCAGCCCAGCTCCAGGTTGAGCTGTTGTTCAGCATCTTAGCTGTGGAGGGCAGTGTCACTGGCCCTCATATATGGGATCTGAACCGGGGCCCTCTGGAGTCCCAAGCCAGTTGTTAACCATTGCGCCACTCGGCTGGCCCTAGAATTTATTTTTTAAAAGCAGTTTTAGGTTTACAGGAAAATTGACTAGAATGTACAGAGATTTCCCACATACCTCCTGCCTACACACACCCACAACCTTCTCCACTGTAAAGATCCCTCGAAGAGTTGCACATTTGTTACAGTTGATTAGCCTACATTGTCAAAGTTTATAGTTTACTTAGGGTTCACTCCTGGGTTCGTACATTGTGTAGGTTGACAAATGTATAATGCCATGTATCCACCAGTATGGTGTCATATACTGGGCTGTCGGAAAAGTCATGAGGCATTTTTGCGGTGAAAAACAGAAAAAATATGTCATGACTTTTCCGACAACCCAACAGAACAGTTTTACTACCCTAAGAATCCTCTGTGCTCTACATATTCATTTCTATTTCTATTTCTATTCTTTATTTCTATTTTTAACAATTGAGGGGTAAATTTTAAAAATAAAAGCTGTATATATTTGAGATGTACAACAGATGATTTGATATACATATATGTAGTAAAATAATTACTACAACCAAGCTAATCAAAATGTTACCTCCTCAGAGTTGACACTTTTTTTTTTTTTGGTGAAGAAAATACCTGAAATCTGTTCTTTTAGCAAATTTCCAGCATTCAATACAGTATTATTAACCATAGTCGCCATGCCTGTGCATTAGATCTCTAGACTTATTCATCTGCATAACTGCAACTTTGTACCCGTTAACCAACATCTTTTCATTCCTCTTGCTTTCCAGCCCCGTGGTATTTACTGTTCTACTCTCTGCTTCTATGAGTTTGACCTTTTTTTTTTTTAGATTCCACATAAAAGTGAGGTCATACAGTATTTTTGCTTCTGTGTCTGTTTGTCTCACTTAACATAATGTGGTCTAGGCTCACCCATGTTGTCGCAAATGGCTGGATTTCCTTCTTTCTCATGGCTGAGTAATATTCCATTAAATGTGTGTGTGTGTGTGTGTGTGTGTGTATGTATATATATCACATTTTCTTTACCCATTCCTTGACAAACACGTTGTTTCCAGGTCTTGGTATTGTGCAATGAATGGGGGTGCAGATATCTCTATGAGACCCTGATTTCATTTCCTTTGGCTATATACCCAAAAGTGGGGCTGCTGGATCATGTGGTAGTTAAATTTTTAATTTTTGAGGGAAACACCATGCTGTCTTCCATAATGATGGTACCAGTTTACATTCCCAAAGAAGTTAGGAAGAACATGCCTAGAGGAGAATGAATGGTACACTGCCTTCCTATTTAGTTGGGTTTAGAAACCAGAATTTATTTTCACCTTTTATCATTACCTCTTGACATTGAGACTGGCTTTTCAATTTTGTGCGTTTTTTGGTTTTTTTTCTGTGTTGGGATACTATCTTTCCTAAAGGAATATTTAAGGAAAAACTCATACACTATTATTTTACTTTCAAATATTAGATATCAATATGCTAATTATTCCTGTAATAGAATGGTCATGTTAAAGGACTGTTAAACTTGAAACAACCATTTATTTATTTATTATTTATTTATTTATTTATTTATTTATTTATTTATTTATTTATTTATTTTTTAGCTGAGCCATCCTGCCACTTGTTGGCAGCTCAGCGGCAGCTCAGCTTGGGCCGGCAATCAAACCGCTGTTGCTCAGAGCTCAAACTCTTGAGCAAGCTCTTAACCAACTGAGCCACTCGGCCAGCCCCTGAAGCAGCCATTTATTGAACATGTATTATGCGCCAGTCGTGTTCCAGGTCCTGGGGGTGATGGCGGTGAACCAGGAGGATAGAAAGACTAGCATGTACAAAAGAAACAATCCCGTTCTTGGGGACACATTGAAGTCCCAGAGGAAACCAGGGCAGCTGGCCTTGTGGACCGGGAGCAGAAGTTGGAATTTTCCTCTAGCTTTCTAAGAAGCCATTTGAGGAAGTTTAAAAAAATTAACTCCAAAATCGATTTGTAAGGACCATGTGTGAGCCACGACCCATTCATTGGTTTCATTTGTTGAGGCAAGAGACGGAGGCAATGGAGGTGTCGTGAGAATGACCAGGGCCGAGATGGGTTTTGGGGTTGAGGTAACAGAAATTACTAATAGATGGTGTGTAGGATGTGAGGCAGAAAGAGCAGTCAAAGATGATACTAAGATTTTATGGTCTGACCCACTGGAAGAAAAATACTATTTATCTTTTAGCGCCTCAGAAAATGGAACTGATTATTAGCATCACTGAGTTATATAATTATTTATAGTATAAGAATGATTATTGGCAGGATTACTCTTTATTTCAGCGAGTGACCCCTTTTTGGTTTTTGGGAGAGAACTGGAAAGTTTCTAAGTCAGAGGGTTTAGCTATTGCTCCCAGTTTAACTGTCTGTTCCGCACACACAATTTCCATTGTAAAGAGCGAGATGAATTTTGCAGGTAAACAAACGAGGTCTTGATTGACACACAGCTCTTCTCCCCTTGCGATTTCTTTCTATTCCGTGCGTTAGCTTCATCACAGGAAGCTATGACCGGACGTGCAAACTCTGGGACACGGCGTCTGGAGAGGAGCTTCACACGCTGGAGGGCCACAGGAATGTGGTTTATGCCATAGCGTTCAACAACCCCTATGGGTAAGAAAGCATTCACTCATTCACTTATTCCTATTAAGCCGTGAATTCATGTGTTCACCTCTCCCTCCCTCTATTGGGGGAGTGGAGGAAGAAGACAGAGAACTAAACTTTACTGAGTGCCTGGCGTGTGCTTTGAAAGCCTTTGAAATATCTCCTTCAATGCTCGAAAGAGTGTGGCATCGATATTGCTGTCCTCATGTAAATGACACAAAGTTCAAGTCCCCTTCCCAGGATCAGACGGTAGTAAAGAGGACAGTGAGAGTCCCAGCCCAGGCAGGGCTGGCTGTACCCTTGGACTTTCCTGACAGGCAGCTCCTACTGATGTTTATGGCACTGGGCTGATGCGTTAGGAGGAGGTGACACACCTACACAACATGTTTACTTTGTGTAGAAGCTAGTCTATGGTCTCACTGGGTAGAAAAGAAATGCGTATAGCTACATGCTAAGTACCAGCACCAAACACAATAGAAGCATTTTTAAACCAATGTGTCGTTAACCCATTCAACAGATGAAGCACCGTTCTCTGCCTGTCCTTCTGCACGGCACATACTGACACCCTTGGCTCCCTGAATGCGTGTAGCCATTGCAGTGTAGGTTAACAGTGCAATGCTTATCTTCTCTGCCCGCTGGCTCGGTTCTAAGCCCACCAAGAGTCAACTTATTTGTCCATAAACCTGCTATGTTTGATGTGCTTTCGATTTGTAATTATGTAATTTAGTATGAACTTAACAAAATATTGCTTACACTAATGAAATATGAGTGTGAAAATAAAGCTGTTGTTTTCTGTGAGAGTATAGAAGAGGTAAATACTTGAAAGCATTGTTACTAAATGCAGTTGTAGATGAGATCAACGTAAAAACTAGAAAACACATTGTGAACATTTAGAAAACGTCTGTACTCAGGTTGTTCTGCAAGTATGCTTAAGTGATCATTCATTTGAAAGAAAAAATTAGGAATCGTAGAGGTTGGCTGTGGTTTCTGTAAGACAGACCATGAACTCCAATTAGCTGACCCAGAAGATTAGCAAATGAACGGGCACCTGTATATATTTGAGTAAAAAATTTTAACACGTGCGTCTCTTCACGATTGCCCACTTTGACTGACTTTTTCCATTAGCCAAGCTGGTTCAATAAATACGGCCCTTTTCCTATAGTGTTATGATGACTAGAGCAAAACAGTGAATCATTTAAAAGCTAAGGATCGGATAACCCCCCTGGTAAGGTCTTTAGGGGTGATATGTGGCTAAAGCAGTAGTTTAGGAGGGACTTTGTCAGGCTCGCCCAATGGCCCCAGGCTCTCTAGTGAACATTTCATGTTGAGAAATGGAAGTGGGGGAGGTCAGCGCTGTCTGTGTAGTTTGAGCTCGGTTCTGCAGGACTGAGTTGCTACGAAAGGTTTGTGAACAAAGGCATCCCACAACGAGTGCTATTTCAGGGTTGCTCTGGCAGAGAGTGGGGAGCAGAAGGTTTGGGGGTGGGAAGAAAGACGGGGCAAGGGGATCAGTTAAGGCAGATAAAAGAATACATGTGTGAGATGATGGAAACTTAGTCTAGGACAGTGGCAGAGGCAATAAAAGGTATTTTATAAAAATCTGATGCACATAGAGTAGACATTTTATACCACAAAGTTAAAAATCTCAGTATCTATTAATAGTTTGCTAATGTCATCGTAGCTTTTGAAAATGTAATATGCACTTTTAAAACATGTTAATTGTGATGGCACAATCAAACTTAATTGGTACATTAAAATGATTAAATATTCCAATTAACTTACAGGAAGTTTAACTTTGATGTATGCATTTTTTTTACATTGTAGAGAATGATAATGCTTACGATACTTTATTATACCACCTTGTGGGAGAGAAAGATTTTATTGAAATTATAAATGATACTATTTTACCTCTAGTATAATTCCTGCTTTTAATTGCAGTGTTATTTGAAGGATTTTGAAAGTATATTTTTTTATAATACCATATCCTTTAATAGTCTACCTAACAGACGTATTTTTGGATATCTATTTGAGAATCAGGCTTTTGGAAATGGAGGAACAGTCCTCACTCGTTTGCCCTCCTGTTGGATTGTACCAAGAACCCCTGGTGAAAAATCCACTTGTCCAATTACATAGTTATTTGGTGATTTATGTGTGGGCTAGAGCATTGTTTCTCACTGCACTTTGGGGCATTGGGATTTTAGCAGAGTGAGTTCAGGACAGTTGCCAAAGAATAAGAGGAAGTGTGTGTGTGTGTGTGTGTGTGTGTGTGTGTGTGAGAGAGAGAGAGAGAGAGAGAGAGAGAGGAACTTCAACTAGTTTAGTGTTTATCTGTTTTATACATTAGGTCAGGAGTAAGCTTTGACTCAAAAAAGTAATTCTAAAAACAATTGGAATTAGTATTATCTTTTATAATGTGGTGTAGAGAACAGTATGTGGTAGAACAAAAATTGATGAAGAAACAGCAGCAACTTGAAACTGACATGCTTTAGGTGCAGGAAGGATGGGAATGGAAGAAGGGAAATGATGAACTCACAAGGCCTTCTGTGTATCTTGAGCAGAAGTTGCGAGGCAGCCACTGATTGGACATGCCTGAGACTGGACACTGCAGCCGAGAGCCAGAGCAGCCTGGGTGGAGAGCCAGCCTTGTGTGTTAGGATGCTTTGGGTGGGGGTGGGTGGGGATTTCCCAGGACCTTGAGTAAGTGGATGGGAATTCTAGGACAAGCTGTCCTTGGAGCGTCCACAAGAAAGGCCCTTGCTGTCCTTTAGTATCAGAGACCACAGAAGTCCTATGCAGTCTGACAATTAAGTTCGCGAACTTGTTACAATGATGTTGCTAACCTTTTTCGATATCAGAGGGATTATTTATTATGAATTTGTACAAACTGGACAAACAGTTAGCCAAGTTTACTATTTGGAGGTGCTGAAAAGGCTGTGTGAAAAAGTTAGACGACCTGAACTTTTCGCCAACAGTTCATGGCTCTTGCATCACGACAATGCACCAGCTCACACGGCACTGCCTGTGAGGGAGTTTTTAGCCAGTAAACAAATAACTGTATTGGGACACCCTCCCTACTCAACTGATCTGGCTCCCAATGACTTCGTTCTTTATCCGGAGATAAAGGAAATATTGAAAGGAAGACATTTTGATGACATTCAGGACATCAAGGGTAATACGACGACAGCTCTGATGGCCATTCCAGAAAGAGTTCCAAAATTGCTTTGAAGGGTGGACTAGGGCTGGTGTCGGTGCATAGCTTCCCAAGGGGAGTACTTAGAAGGTGACCGTAGTGATAGTCAGCAATGAGGTATGTAGCACTTTCTCAAGGATGCGTTCGCGAACTTAATTGTCTGACCGCGTATGTAAAGCGGCCTGAGAACAAAGGAGAGGAGTGAGGCGTTACTGTTAGTCTGGACAAATATGAATTCTGCAGCTGTGCTGAGCACTTATAATTCATTTGCTTTGGGATACGTATTTTGGGTCTTAAGGTCCCTCACATTTTTTGAATAAGGAGCTTGCACTGTAAATGATGGTCCCAAATTGGGTGAGCATTTGATGACTTGCTGTAAAAGACAGCTAGGGGTCAGGGATAAAGAGAAATGCTTTAGTTCCACAATCAGATGTTAAACAGGCTAGTCCTCCTGCCGGCTGGGTGTGGACAGTAGCCCTGCTCCACAGTAAATATGGGAAACCTTGTCTGAAAGGGGCTGAAGTGTTTATCTTGTCTCCTCTCAAAACCCTCTTTCTTGTTCAAAGACCTTGTTCAAATTGGAATAACATAGCTATCAGTTTCCATAGGAGATACTCTCTGCCTAACTTCTTAAAACTTTATCTAGCCATATGGTTATTTGGACTTACATTTTTTTCATTGTTATTCTTTTAAATTCAATGCTACCTTTTGTTTTAGGAGTTCTACTAACAGAATTTTTCTGTGTTGATACTACATATATTATGCAGTATGAATTTTCATTTGTTAGTAATTTTCTAAACTAAATCTTACCATATTCATTGTATTAATTTAAAATGTATTTTTAATTCCAAACATATACCTTTAATGTAAAATACTTAAAATCAAACATATAAACTGATGCTATTAAAAAATTAGACCTTTATTTTCTTATCCACTGAAACAAAATAGGATTGCTTATTGTTTTAAAAGTAAAGTCAATTTCTGTATTAATATCTTTTGTCTTATTTCAGTGTGTCATATACTGTGGTTGAATTTGATATCAAAATATACATTTTTTTTATTTAATCTTAGTGACAAAATTGCCACTGGGTCCTTCGATAAGACTTGTAAACTGTGGAGTGTAGAAACGGGAAAATGTTACCATACGTTTAGGGGTCATACAGCAGAAATAGTGAGTATATTGATTTTATTAATTTTTTTTTGTTGCTGTTCCTTTGTTTTATTTTACTTTTTTAAAAAAATAGACTTTATCTTTTGGAGCAGGTTAAGGCTCACAGCAAAGCTGAAAGGAAGATTCAGAGATATTCCCATATACTCACTACCCCCTTCCCGTCCCCTCCATCCTTACGCACACAGCGTGTCTCATTTTCAACACCTTCCACAAGAGTGCTGGCGCTTTTGTTACACCTGATGAACCTACATGGACACATTGTTACTATTTCTTTTTAGGATTCCATTATGAAAGTAGTGGTTCCATTTTTAGAATTAATTTTAAAATTCTATTCAGTGTGTTAATTCTCAATGTATTTTATGCGGTGCCCTTGACATAATTTACAAACTACTCTAGTTTTAATATCTTGCAGATATCCTGCATCGACTAAGTAGACAGGTAATAGGATAACTATATGAGTACAATAGCTGACCTGACTTCTTCTGTTCCATCAATCTGACTCGATGAGGGTTGAGGAAGCTCTTAAAATAGCTTTTGAAATAGCTTTTTCAAAATATCATGTAAAATATTTAGGCTGATTGTTTTCTGGATATTATTAGAACTCCCATTTGCATAAACAGTCTGATACTCTAAATAGCTTTGACTCTTGCGAAGCCCTTGCCCTTGGCCAATTCTATGTTACATCTTACAACAATTAGTGAGATATTGGCACCCTGTGGAATAAATGATAGCTTTTAAAAATAAACAGGCTGCTTATTTTAGGAGTAAAATGTATTTATAGTCAGCTTTTAAATTCATGGTATTTCATCCAACAAGAGATCATGCTATGTTCAAGATGCTTTGCTAGACACTGGGGATATTGCAGTGAAAAATTGTAACCGACCCTTAACGGTGCTCAGTGTGCACGAAGCACTGTCCTAAGCCCTTTACATATTAGCTTGGTTTTGCCTCTTAACAACCCTAAGAGGGAATTATCTTCCCATGTGACAGTCGAGGATACTGAGGCATAGAGAAGTGCCTTGTCCAAGGTCAAACGGAAGACATAATCCTTGTTCTCATAGTGTGGCCATGTTTCCACACTCCCTTGGAATTTTGAAAAAGTGTTCTTTATATATAGTTCTGAAGAAGACAGCCATAGTTTTCATGGTCAACAACGTCAATCCAGTAAATATTTGCTGAACATTGACTGTGTGTAAGCCCTGGCCTGTGTGCTTGGGTACCAACTAGAACCAGACCTAGTTCTTGCCCTTCAGGTGTTTTGCAATTTAATAGAGAGAGTCAAGGTGTCAAGGAATAAGTTCAAAGACACATTGTTGGTGTGCTAGAAGTTGGCAGGGAGTTCACTGAGGGCATAGAGGGGAACAGTGAAGTCTCCTTGGCCAGGAGAGGTGTTCAGGAAAGACTTTGCAAAGAAGTGGCCCATGTGTTCCCAGCAGAGGGACCCGCACTGGCTCAGGGTACACAGTGCATGCCTGAGAACGCACGTGGCTCTGTGTGGCAGAGCGGTGCTTTCCAACCTTCCCCTGTGATGACCTGTGCAGAATATGTTAATATGGATTTGCAACGCACTGGGGAGAGCTGCCAGCTGCCCAGGATCAGAGGTGACGGGCAAGGATTCCTTGTGCTGCCCAGCTATGTGGGTTAAGGGCATCAGTGTCGTGGCAAACCCGTAACCCATTCAAAGCCAGGCCACAGGGTATGTGTGGATTGAAGTGTGTGTGTGGGGGTGCACACAAGGTCATATTATAGATTTATAGGGTCTCATGTGCTATGCTAAGGAATTTGGACTTTACCCTGTAGATAATGCCAGATTGTTGAGACTTCCCAGCTGGGAGATGGCAGGATCAGCTTTGCTCTTTGGGGAGATCATTTTTTGACAGCATGAAGGACAGATGGGAGGTCGGGAAGCAGGGGCCAGTGGGGGACTTCGTTGCAGTCTAGACAAAAATGATGAAGGCCTGTCATGAGGCAGGTGAGGAGAATGTGAGAGAGTTGGTAGTGGGGGGAGAAGAACTGGGTTACCAAGTAGATATGAGGCAAGAAGGGAAAAACGGGGGCCCAGGATAACTCTATGACTTCAGGCTTGGATGACTAGCAGTGCCATTTGCCAATTCTGTACATGAATGAGGAGGAACAGGTTTTCTTCCTATGACCCGTGTGCCTTAGACAGGTTGACACAAGCTGCCTGTGTGAACTGAGCATCGAGGTCTGCGAAGGAGACATAGATGTGTGAGTCTCTGGCACCTGTTTGGCAGTGGCAGTAGAAACCATCAAGCAATTGAAATTTCCCAAAGGAAAAAGCAGAGTATGGGGAGAAGACTAATGGAACCTTGGGAAGATGAAGAAGAGGAACCTTCAAGTGATATGAAAGAAGATAAAAGAATGAAAACAGAGGGCTGTCAAACTGTCAAGAAGGAAGAAAATATCAAGAGCCTTGGGGAGGTTAAGTAGGAAAACCGTCCCATGCCTCTTGGGTTGGACATTTAGCGAGAACGGTTTCAGTAGAGTTGAAGAGAGGAAGACGGGCAAGCAGTGAGTGATGGGAGGCTATTTTTCCAAGGAATGTGACATAATATAGAAAGGAGTCAAGGAAGGGTGTGTTTTTATGTGGAAAAAGCTCATGCATATTTAGACTGGGAAAGATCTAGTCTAGAAGAAACGAAAAGCTGATGTACACGTCTCCCCAGGAGTGCAGCAGGAGGGGTCTTAGAATGGGCAAAGGGTCCCCTCCGAATCTGAGGTTGAATGAGGGGAAAGCGAGGGCCAGTGAGGAAGTTCCCACCTGATAGGTGAGTTTTCTCAGGGAAGTTGTAGGAGGCCAGGTTATCTGCTAAGGCAGGACGGGGACGGGAGTGGGGACAACCGCGGAGAATGGAGAATGTATGCGATAGAGGCATGTTAGGTGGTGGGGGGGAGGGTGGGGAGTGGCACTGCGGACACAGTTGAGGACAGAAGACGTGAGTGAGCAAAACGGCAACCTGCTATGCTTTCTTCAGCTGTCCTGGCTGAGTGATGAGGTAGGGAAGGCAAATACAGTAGATTTAAAATAACTGATATTATTATAAAATTATCTATAATTGTAAGATAAAATCCCAGCTTGATACACATTGTTAGGAGTCTTACGGAGGGTGCAGTTGAAGGATTGAACATCACTGGCAGGAGTGATGTTTCCAGGGTGTCGTTTGAATGGAGGATGATGGACCAGGAGAAAAAGGAGGAATCTCAGTGAGATGGAGGACACCCTGGTTGGAGAGGGAGAATGGTAAGGAAGTGAGAACGTTGAAGCACTGCAAAAAGGTCACTAGACATTGGTGCATTGGTAGTGAGTCGCCTGAGAAGGTGACGCCAAGCTCTAGGGTGAGGCCATGGGAGTGAGTATGAAAAGGCGCTCAGGGTCATGGGTCTGGGGGTATTGGATGGATGGCCCACACGAAGGCCACCTAGGACTTGGAATTGAGACTGTGAGCAGACAGCTGAAGTCCTTGGTAAGTGAGGGGGGCATGATTGAAAGAACTGTGATGCCAGCAACAAGGAAGATGGAGATACATGGCATGACTCTCTGAGGTGATGGGTTTTGTCCTCGTTCTGTAGTCCGGAAGTGGTAAAGGAGCCAGTGTCCCTGCAAGCCTGAGCTGGGTGGCATGGGCTTCAGGATTCAACCCGTAGATAGCAGGCTACTTCTATTTGGTATTTTGTTGAGTATTTGTACAAAGAATTAGGCTGAATCTGCTAAGATAGTTACATCCTAAAGCTTTTTTTATATAAAATTAACAATTTAAAAACTCTGTCTTTCTAAAACCCCTCCCATTTCGTGTAATTCAGGTGTGTCTATCATTCAACCCTCAAAGCACATTGGTAGCTACTGGAAGTATGGACAAAATGGCCAAACTGTGGGACATTCAGAGCGGAGAGGAAATATTCACGTTAAAGGTATGTTAATAATGTTAATAACCTCAAGAGTTTTGCATTTTTATTAGCCATTCCTTAGAATAAGCCTATTGTTTGCGTTTGCTTTTTATTTGCATTACAAAATTAGCTCTTAAGTTTAGAAGATGTTTTTGAGCCATTGGTTTTCAGATTAGAGCGAGAGAGTGTTCCAGGGGCTTTGCCGGCTGCTCCAAAATCAGATGGATGTGCTGGGGAAGCCAGGAGACGAAGCCATCTTTGTTCTGACTCCCTTCGGCCGATCAGCCATACCAATGATAGCTCAAGCCCTATCGTCACTGCCTGGCTAACCGCGAAGTAGGTGGGGGCTGGGAGAACTGGGGAATCCGGCGAGAAGATGCCTCAAAGCAATGATGGTTAGCACGCTTCTCCTCCACCCTCCAGTCTTAGAGGCCTCATGTATTACCAAGCCTGACCTGACGAGAGGCGAGTGGCAGGAGGGGAGGCAGCCGGAGGGCACTGCCCGCAGCGTGGGTGCTGGTGGTGTGTCTCCCCGGGGCCCATCCGTCACCACCACCGCACGTCCAGCACCTTCCTATGACCTGCTGCCGTCCATTTCTGCCCAGCCCAGCCCAAACTAGCAAACAAAAAGAGGGGCAGTTCTCCATGGCCGTCAGCAGGAACTGTTGGATGATAAATCCGTTTTTCTGATCCTTTCAAATGATAAGTGACTTTTAAAAAAAAGTGGGGGAGACCCCTTTCCTAGGACAGCTTTTTCTAAGGAAGTTAAAAAATGGACTTAAAAAAAAAAGACAGAAAAAAACCAGTTTTTAACTAACACCAAGGGCTTTTCTTTCTTAAATCAAAGTGACTAGCATTATTCGTATATGCATCCTCTTTCTGACCTCCGTTCTCATCGTTTCTGTGGGTCACTGCCTCTGCCTCTTCCTTCAGACAAAAGCCCGAGCATTCAAAGGGACCAGTCCTGCTCAGCACGCCTACCTGTCTGCCAGCAGAGAACACATTTGTTTTGTGTGATCAGAATTTTAATGTTCAGTTACATTTAACTTTTTGTCATTTGGAATCAACCAGAAATTTCATTTGTAAACAAACTGTTGTATTACTTACACAAGGAATTATGTGAGTTTACTTAAATCATTAGGAAAATGAGGGATCTCCTCCGAGCAGAATCTACTGTGGAAAGGGGCTTCTTGCCATTGTCTCAGACGTTTTGATTCGTCAGCCCTTGATGGTAACCAGGGAAAGTCAGGCCACAGGGCAGATATTTATTAATCAATTCATGTTAAATTATTGTAAGAATTTCTTTTCTTTTTTGAAGTTATTAACTTCCTCTCACAAACTTGCTTTTCTTCTGCTTGTCGTCTACTATTAGCCCATAACCCACAGGCCTTTAGTGTTCCAAGACAATGTGACAGAAGCCTTCTGATTTCACAAAACATGCCTTACTCTTCTCAAACAAACAAGCAAGCAAGTCTCAAGGTTCAACTCAAGGCTTATTGAGTTAAAACAGACTTGCTTTCAGTGTCTGCCCATGTTTAGCAAACCTACGGAATTGTGCAGCCATCACCAAAATCTAGTTTTAGAACATTTCCATCACCCCAAAAAGAGGCCTCATGCCCATTTGCAGGCGCCCCCCAAGTCCTACCCCAGCCAACCGTGAATTTCTTTTTTTTCTCATGTAGCTTTGCTTTTTTCTGGCATCTTCTTTTAGTCTCTGATGTTGTACCTTTGTAGTGCTTGCTTTAAAGATACACACAAGAGCGTCTGTTCTGTTTTAGGGACATTCGGCCGAAATCATCTGCTTGTCCTTTAACACCTCAGGCAACAGGATCATCACCGGGTCTTTTGACCACACCGTTGCAATATGGGACACTGCGACTGGAAGGTAGTCTTCATATTTAAGAACTGTCAACATGAGTCAGAAGGTTAAGAAGGCTGTCTTGGTTATTTATTAGTTTTTGTTTTGTTTTGTTTTTTTTATTGGGGAATTGGGGAATAGGAACAGTGCTGGGGAATTGGGGGAAGGGGAACAGACAAGTTGCTGTTGTTTTGTTCTTCAGTCTAGTTGTGGAGGACGTTGCTTCACTGGCCCAAGTTGGCACCATCATTGCGCTCTTCCCGGGCGAGGCAGATCAGTCACCGGCTTCTGGACGGCCACTCACGGCGGCTGCTGGCTGCTCACGCTGGCTGCTGGCTACACACGGTAGCCTATGGCAACCCACTGCCACAGGGGCTGCAGCCTACGCCGTCGCCGGCGACTCACGACAGCCCAGCTCCAAGTTGAGCTGTTGTTCATGTTGTTCAGCATCTTAGCTGTAGAGGGCAGTGTCACTGGCCCTCATATGTGGGATCCGAACCGGGGCCCTCTGGCATCCCAAGCCAGTTCTTAACCATCACGCCACTCAGCCGGCCCTATTAGTTTTATCTTAAATGTATCAACTGTATCCTGGATTCCACAGGAATAGGACTCGCTGAAAGCAAGTTGTGTATTTCGTTCTTTAATGATATTTCTGATCCACGAAAAATATGTGACTTCTCAGAATTGTGAGCAAATAATGCCAAATAGAAGCATACAAGAGGAATGGTAGTAATAGCCTGGTTATATAGCTGTTATTTATTCCATGTGCTAGGTAATCAAATTTCAATGGCTTGTCATTATGGTCGGCATGGATATCATGAATAAATAAAATCTTGGCTAATTCCCCAAATTTAATTTAGTCTGAGAACTTCAACTTCCTTCCTAATTATTTTTGGTCCTAGTTGCTAAGAAGTTAACTAAATTAGCTTATTTGTGTTGTAAAACTCCACTCTTGGCATTGTCTGCATTTTGATAGAAGGGCTAATTATCGGGGGGTACCCATCAAGATGGGTACAGCAAGAAACGAGAGTGAGGGAAGGGCCCTGCAGATGTCTGACGGGTAGTTTCTCAACTGCCAGGCATCCACTCATCTGGTGTAAGAATACTTCCAGAATTTCAGACGACTCCATTACTTTTTTACCCATGCCTTTCTGAAGTGTTGTCTTAAGTTACATTGTTATCTTTGATTGTTTAAATTTAAGTATATTTTTGTGGAAACAAAATTCGTAGTTGCCACTTTTTGAGCTTCAGCAAAACCATCTTAATCAAAGACAGTGTTTTGCAAAAACTAGAATCCATACTCTGATGCCAACGGGCTGGCCATCATTGCGTGTGTGCATGTCCTGAAGTAAGGCGTCTTTGAATCATTTCCATTTTGCAGGAAGGTGTACACGCTAATTGGGCATTGTGCTGAGATCAGCAGTGCCTTATTCAGCTGGGATTGCTCCCTGATACTAACTGGCTCTATGGACAAAACCTGCATGGTGAGCTCCAGAAATTGCTTTGCTTTGTCATTCTCAAGTCTGTGCTTTTTATTGTCAGATATGCATTGCAACAGTAACACATTTCAAGCTGCTGTAAAATGAAGATATTAATTTATAAATAATAACTGGTAATTTTTAAATTTCAAGTTTCTGATCCCCCAAGTTTAAAGGAATTATGATGTGGTGAAATAATTTTAATTGGTTCAAATGTACTAGAAGATCTTATACTAAAAGGCACGTTGTTTTTGTTCAATGTCCCTCCATTTATTAAACGTTGATCAGAGTAAACTTTAAAGAGTCTCTAAACAGTGTTTCCCTGCCTTTCAGTTTTTGTTACTAAGAGCTTATGCTCTAGAATTATATTTGATTATATATCACATGTTTTACAGTCTTTTTTTTTTTTAAAGATTTTATTGGGGAATTGGGGGAGGGAATAGCGTTGGGGAATTGGGGAAAGGGAATAGACAAGTTGCTGTCCTTTTGTTCTTCAGTCTAGTTGTGGAGGACGTTGCTTCACTGGCCCAAGTTGGCACCATCATTGCGCTCTTCCCGGGCGAGGCAGTTGGTCACTGGCCTTTGGATGGCCGCTCATGGTGGCTCATGGCAGCTCACACTGGCCACTGGCCACTCACAGTAGCTTATGGCAGCCCACTGCAGCCTACACCGTTGCCTGCAACTCAAAACAGCCCAGCTCCAGGCCGAGCTGTTGTTCACCATCTTAGCTGTAGAGGGCGCAGCATCACTGGCCCATGTGGGATCCGAACTGGCGGCCCTGCTGCTCAGAGCTTGTGCTCCAATGCCAATTCTTAACCAATAAGCCACTTGGCCAGCCTAAATATCTTATAGTCTTAATGTACTTTTCATTTCCTAGCATTGTAGTTGTAGGTCAAGCTCCTGCTCATTTGGTGCCCCTGTTATGAAAAGAGGACACTTCCACTCCAATCAGTGAAGTGTGCACATTGAGATTTGTCCCTAATGTAATGGCAGATTTGCAAAACTCATTCTAAATATCTGTCTTGGATCCTCTCTGTGTCCAAAGGGTGCCTTGTTAGATGGTTGGCTATAGTCTCTAGTCACAAATCAAGGTAAAATTAACAGAACGTGTGAAAATTATACACATGATTTTGGCACAGTTAGTTAATCAGCTATAAGGATGTCATAAAGTCTACTGCTTTGCACTCTAGACAGGAAATCGTAGTTTTGTCTTTCTCCTCCTCCTCCTCTCCCTCCTCCTCCTAATCGCAGCTGTGGGATGCTACAAGTGGAAAATGTGTGGCAACATTAACAGGCCATGATGATGAAATCCTAGACAGCTGCTTTGATTACACTGGAAAGCTTATTGCAACTGCTTCTGCTGACGGTAGGTCATCTGCCCATACATTTAATCTGGGGAGGGGTTTATGCTTTGCTTGATAAACATGTAAGATTCTACATGATAGAGCATCTCCCTGGTGGGCAGCTATGATGGAAACTCTATCTGCTCACATTTTTGGTGTTCATGTGTGTCACTGCACTATGTCTGTACCATGCTCTTGATAACCACATGCGATGCTATATAATGTGTGCATCATCTCCTTGACAACCACATCTGATGTCATGCTAGGTCATCATCACCCCCTTGATCACAATATGTAATGGCACATTTTGAGTCATCTCCCCGATGTCCATGCATTATGCCACACTAGGTCGACCTCATCAACTTGACCTCCGTCGATGGCCCTAGAATACATCTGCATTATCTCCTTTATAACCACACGTGCTGCTCTACGATGTCTAGCAAGTCTTCATGATGAACTTGTGTGATGCTATGTTACACATCATGTTCCTGATTACCGCGTATGAGTCTATGCTATGTCTGTGTCTTTGTCATCTTACTGATAACCATGGGCTGGTGTGACACTTATGTATGCCTAACTCCAGGAAGACCACATATGATGCTGCAGTACATCCATGTTATTTTCCTGTGACCACGCATGCCATTATGTTACTTTGCCAGTGATTCATTTTAATTATCCAGTCTTTATTTCATCGCTGTCTCCCTTTTCAAAACTACGTTTGCATGCTTGTTCTCTCTCTCACTAGGACTGTTCAAAGGTGACCCTTTGATCATACATACAACTTCTTTCTATAACCTGGAATATACCCAGCCTGAATCTGGACATTTTTATTATTTATTTTTAATTTTTAATTTTTTAAAGATTTTATTGGGGTATTGGGGGAGGGGAACAGTGTTGGGGAATTGGGGAAGGGGAACAGACAAGTTTCTGTCCTTTTGTTCTTCAGCCTAGTTGTGGAAGATGTCGCTTCACTGGCCCATGTTGGTATTATCATTGCGCTCTTCCCGGGTGAGGCAGATTAGTCGCTGGCCACTGGGCAGCTGCTTACAGCAGCTCACATCTGCTGCTGGCCAGACTCACTGCAGCCTATGCCATTGCTGGCGACTCACGGCAGTCCAGCTCCAGGTTGAGCTGTTGTTCAGCATCTTAGCTGTAGAGGGCACAGCATCACTGGCCTTCATGTGGGATCCGAACCGGGGCCCTGCTGCTCAGAGCTGGCGTCCCAAGCCAACTCCCAACCAACGCGCCACTCAGCTGGCCCACAATTTTATTTTTAAAAGTAACTGCTTACTTTTTTATCTTCTCACAGATCTTGTCTTTTAAAAATCACCTCTTAACTGGAATTAACCTGCCCTTTTCATTTTAAATATCACTCTCATTTACACAAAAAAGTCCATTCAACAAATATATATATCTGAAGTACGGTACCTAATTTGTGCCCGGAGTTGTTTTAGGGACATGGGATATATCAGTGAACAAAAGACACAGGAACCCCTGCGCTCGCAGAGGGGGACACAATGACCAATGCCATGCATGTGTTTTATATGGAATGTTAGATTATACAGAACATTAAATTATGTGGAATGTCAGGAGGTGGTCAGAGCTATTGGAGGCGGGGAAGGCAAGCAGGGATGTGAAGGGATGGATAAGAACCAAATGCAAGTTCAACTCTAGTTTTGTTTTCTCTACATTCTTGTATTTCCCCTATAGCAGGGGTCGGCAAACTGCGGCTCGCGAGCCACATGCGGCTCTTTGGGTACGTTCCGTCTCAAAAGTTCGCCGACCCCTGCAAGAGCCAATCCTGTCCCTTGAAGTTTTGCGAGACCTATGTAACAAATGACATCACCACTATGTGAATAATATGCTTTAAAATGTTTATAAGTGAAACTAGGATAGTTTTATTTTCATTTTCACTTTTACTTCAGAGCCACATGTACGTACCCGAAGAGCCGCATGTGGCTCGCGAGCCGCAGTTTGCCGACCCCTGGCAGCTCTTCCATCTCAAAAATTTGCCGACCCCTGCCCTAGAGTGATTCTTTTCTTTCTTTGTTTGATAAGACATTACTTCAAAAAGCTCTTTTTTTTTTTCCTTTTGTCGCGTTTTGTAAACCCCCCTCATTCTGTGCTTCCTAAGAAGCCTTGATGTTTAGAGCAACCTTTTCTATCTCTGGCCTTTACTCCTCATTCCCGTCTTAAAATTGGATCTCATTCCGTCGCGTCAGTTACCTGTGCAGGTACATCTGTTTCTTTATATCACCTTTTTATTCCTCATTGGAATTACTCTCAAGGCTGACTTTTTTTAGTGTCTTATTTGTATTTCTCTCTTTTTAAAAAAATTACAGTTTCAGATGATCTTATTTCTGTGTTTTCTAAAGTTTAAAAATGCTTTTTTTTGTTAATGTAGAGTATTACTCTCTGCAGGATAGTCTCTCTTTTAATTAACAAACTCTTAAAACAAGTTGGTCACTTTCCTTTAAGGCTTTTGTAATGTCCCACTAAGTAGCAAGTTTTTCTTTAATCACATTAATCCTAAAATAACAGTTTTTATCATTTTGTCTACTTCATCCTGAATTTGACATGGTCAGAAAGGTAAGTAAAAACATTAAGGTATTTTGCTCTTTTTGAATGAAAATTAAATAACCAGAATTTTCTATCCTTGATCATTTTACCTCTATGCAATGCTATAATTTACAATGAGAAAGCATCTTTCACCTGGCCAGATAAAATTTAACATTTTTACGACAACAATTTCAGTACTGCTGTTTTTCTTCCTCTATGCTTATTTAACTCCTCCATTTCTTAATTCCAAGGAAATATATATGCTGCTGCTTCCATCCATCCATCCATCCATCCATCCATCCATCCATCCATCCATCCATCCATCCATCCATCCTATATCATTTATTGAGTGTCTACTATGAGCTTGATACATCTGAGAAGGGGAGAATACAACAGGGAACAAACATTTTGTTAGCTCTTTCCATTGAAAAGGATTTCCTAGTGCCTGCTGCTCTTTGCTCACTGAGTGGTGACCGCTCTTTCTTGTTAGGGTGGACTCTTGTACCTTCCACAATCTTAGACGCATATTTGGTGTATGATGCTCGTCTTGCAGCTTATTTCAGCCTCAGCTTCTGAAGACTTGTTTTGATTCCTCTTTTTTCCCCTTTAAAATCTTTTTTCTTTCTGAATTGCTGCCTCTCAGCCTTTTCTTCCTTGGAACCTATTATCTCTTCACATGAGTTCGGGGCTAGAGAGGTGGTCCATTTACTCTCTTCTCACTGCAGGCAAGAAGACAAACCCAGCAGAAAGCTGTGTTTCAGAGGGATAGATGTTTAGAGAATTTAAGGCATGTGGTTCAAAGTTCTGTATTTCTGATTAATATATATATATATATATATATATATATATATATATATATATATTTCCCTACTTCTCTCAAAAAGGAACAGCAAGAGTTTTCAGTGCAGTCACAAGAAAATGCATCACCAAACTGGAAGGTCATGAAGGGGAGATTTCAAAGGTGAGTAGCTTTCTTATTTGGAGCAATTTATTTACGTTCAAAAAATAGACAACATGTTTAGTATAAATAGGTGTATTGGTACCAAGGTACTAAGGTTTTTTCCAATTATCTCATTCTTTCTAGAAGCCACTTACCTAAAGACTTTATTTTTAAGTGTGTCCTCAAGCTCAGCAAAATTATTTCTAAAACCTTTCAAAAACTATAAACAGTGTTCTCTGTAGCCATCAGCAAAAGGTTTAGTTAGCTGAAAATACTTATTAAAGCTCTTCAAGAAGCTTATGCGATGCTTTTCCTGGTTCTAGTAGACAACACAAGTTTATATTATGCAAAAAACATGCTGTGTAGTAAGTATCACGTGTTCTGTAAATTAGATGCAATCGAGGATGTATTTCATGGAAATATTTAACACTCAACAAAGTTTAAAATGACCTATTTTGAAACTCCAAAGCTGTAGCTTAGAATTTCATATAAACTCCTCCCAAAAGCTTATTCACAGAGCAGGGACATCCAGTCAGTGACCTGAGGCTAAGCTGTGTCCTCAAAATTTCAGACAAGGCTGGGATGTGATGACTCTCAGCTGCCAGCTCAGACCAGTTCCTTGGTCTCCTCCCTGAGATCAGATTTGCTTCTTCCTTAGAAAGCATTAACCTGATGCCTTCACATCTCTGAAGGCTCCCCATGGTCCCCAGCTTTGCCCCCCGCTGTGCTCTCAGCCCTCCTGCATTTGTGTACCTGCTGCTGGTGGTCCTTGCTGGCACGGGAGGACTGCTCTCCAAGGCAGTGCGGGAAGGGGGATGGAGGAAGTGTGGTCATGGCAGACAGGCTGAAGAGAGAGCCAGTGGGTCAGAGTCCTGAGTGTCTGGCGTGGTAGCTATTGACATGTCTGGCATGTCCTACTCAACAGTTCTGCATCTGTTTTTGTGTGCATGTGAATATAAAGAGTTCTCGGACTCTATGTTATTGCATTTTATGCTTAAAGGATATAATGCTGTTTGGATTGCCACCCAGTTGTGGCATTTCCAAAGAGTACCAAGCCAAGGGTTCATTCATTCATTCATTCATTCATTCATTCGGCGTAGGCTTTTTGAGAGCTTCCACTGTGATAGTCATTGCTCTTGGCCCTGGTGACACAGTGATAAAAAAAAAAAAAGACATGGCTCTGCCTTCATCAAACCTTTCATCATAGAGGGGATGGCACAAATCACTGCCTTCTGACAATTTGAAAGGGTTATAAGCACGGCCCCCTGAGGAGTGGAAGACCCACGGGTTTCTTTGACTGCAGCTCAGGTGCTGTTTGACGATACCTGGCACATCGGAGGCACTCAGCACATATTTATGGACAGTGCTGAATACTGAGGAGAAATAGACAGAACGTCCTCTCTCACATGCCCTGATATTCGCATATTCTGTGGCACAGATTGAAGGATGAACTGTATGCTTTGATGACAGAAAGTTGGGCTGCAGAGGTGGCATCGGGATTGGGTATCGAGACGCCCAACTTGTGTTCTCATCCACTTCAGAGCTCTGCCTCTTGGTTTGCATGGAGAAAGACGCCACGAGTCTTTAGAAAGAAGTGGGTGGGGAATACTCAAATTATAAGGATGCCCTGGTCTCTATCCTTAGAATCGTGAGGGGGTAGGCAATTCAACTTTCCTGTCTCAATTTTCATATGCACATGTTAGTCCCTCAAGTATTGTTCCCATCACGAAGGAACTGTTCTGGGTGGGAATAAACACTCGTACCAGGCTGGGAAGGTGTGAGGTGCATAGTAATGTCCTTCTTTTGCTGATTAAAAATATTTATTATGCAAACCTGTGATGGTATTTTTCTTTCTCTTTTGTAGATTTCTTTCAACCCCCAAGGGAACCGTCTTCTAACGGGCAGCTCTGACAAAACAGCGAGAATCTGGGATGCTCAGACTGGCCAATGCCTCCAAGTGCTTGAAGGGCACACTGATGAAATCTTTTCATGTGCTTTCAACTATAAAGGCAACATAGTCATCACAGGTAGGGGAGACATGAACACCATAGATTTCATTTTCCTTTTAAGTTGGCTGAGTTCCTAAGCTGAATACCAAAACGGAGTTCACCTCCCTCCTACCTCTCTTCCAGGGTCCCTGGCTCATCTTGGTGGGTTCTATATCTGTTATTTAATTTTGGTTGCATTGTGGAACCACAGAAGTGAGCTCAACCACCGATTGTAATGCTTTGTGAGTTTTGAATTTTCGTTGCCTAGACAAAGTGAGGATTCTGCAGCCTGCCTTGCTGGTTACTACATTTCCCCAGGCATTGTGCACTGAATGGTTAATATTCAGTCCATGTCAGTTAAATTTTAGTAGCTGAGACAAGCCGGGACCCGGTTCTCCCCAGTTGGGCCTGTAACCCATGAGGGGTTTGCTCTTTGACCGATGTTGTTTTCTCCTTGGATGTCCCCCACCAACGTGCTAATATTTAGGGAAGAGAGCACGGATGGAGCATTTTTCAACCTTCAACAGTTAATTGTGAATGAACCACATTAGCAACAATGTATAAGAACTGGATTGAGAATAGGTTAATGTGGATTGCAGAAAGGAGAAAAATGACAAGACTATGGTACAATGTTAGTGCCAGGCCCCTGGAAGGGCCTTGCCAGGGAGTGTGTGCTACAATGCTGTGCGGCAGAGGTGCCCTAAGAGGGCGCAGAAAGCCCAGTTGCCCAATTCTCAGTGATTCCCATTGTGGTAAGTTGAAAAAGTTGCTGAACTCATGTAATAAATTCAATGTCACATACGCAAGGTTGGTATATTGCCTAATGATTAGGTAGCTTCGTAGTCATACAACTTCAGGGGTGCTAAGCACAATCTCCCCTTTTGCCCTAAAGTACCTCCCCTTTCTACTAAATGATGGATGCCTTCTGAAATTGCAGGTTACTTTCTTTGGATTTATGATTTTCACATGTTACTAAAAGGTATCTACTCCTAAAACAATGCCATAACGAGCCATATGTTTTTGGTGAACACAATATCAGATTCTTCCCCGTGATGCGGAAAGAGGCAGGAGGCTGTGACAGAGGCTCAGGAGGCTCTTGCAGGGAGGTGCTGCCAAGCTAGGCAGAAGGGGGCGGGCCCGGCGGGCAGAGGACCTGCCTTTCCTAGTCCATGTGTTTCTTCGTAGGATGCTCTGCGATACTTGTTCCCGCAGCCCGTGTTCACAAAGGGCTGGAAAGCTCACGGAAGTAGCGTCTGTGCCTTGTTTTAGTGCTGGCACTTAAATTCCTGAACGCTTTTAAGGAAGTATGGATTTATTTAGTGTGTCCCAAAGCCCCAAGGTGCTAAATACTGGCCTGCAGGACGACAGAGCCTATTAGAATGGGGGTGACCATCCTGCCTCGTCAGCAGCAGAGCCATCACTTTTTTGAACTGAGCTGCCCTAGTTTCTTGGCCGACAGTGTCTGCTGTGCATTTTTTTCACTGAATGCCTGAGGATGGGCTGAGAATCACACCTGGAAGAAAACTGGCCAGTGTGGTCGTTACATTTTTAAAAATGTAAGGCACTTTTTATAAGGTGGAACGTGCAGTTTTACAGGCTTTCCCAGGGCACACAGCTCACAGGCTTCTTATACTGATGCTACGTGCCTGGCCTCTGAAATGAACTACTGCAAGGGTTGTCATTTCCACAGATGGAATGTGAATGGTGACCCTCAGGGACGAGCATTTCAAGGCCACTTTGGAAGAGTGTCTGTCATAGTAGTGGGGAGTGTGGGCAGGATGGAAATTTCACACTTTGATGATGAGAAAAACCTATTGACCTTTTGATATGTTCCAAAGTGGAATGTGCTGACCCCTCATAAGCTAACACCCAAACCTGGAGATGTTCAAGTTCACTTTCTTTCCACCTGGTGGCTATGTTTGAGGGCAGGGCAGGGGGAACACGCCCAGGGGAGGGGCAGCGTCATTGCAATCCCAGGTCCTCTTCAGCTCTCTGATGACATGGACCTTGCTGGTGTGGGCAGGACGTGAACTTGCCCAATGTAGAACTAACAGGAATCATGCGAAAGAAAAAAAGGCAAAGAAAATAAATGAAAAGAGAAAGACTCTCACTCCCAAAATGCCCCAGCTGAGTGGCTGAGCTGGGCAGTGAGACTCTCGCACACTGAGCACATTCCTGACTATCAATGACCCAGGAAATGACAACTTGTGTAGGAAGAGAGAGTGAAAAAAATATAGGAAGAAATAACGTCGTGATATTTGTCTTAATAGGCAGCAAGGATAACACCTGTCGGATATGGCATTGACTGAAGAAAGCCGGTCGTGAGCAGTAAGACAAGAGCTGGGGCTTCACAGAGGGCCAGCCAGCTATTTTGATATTTCATGTGGTTTTTCCTTTATTTCTTTTTCCCACAAGTCAACTGTTTATACACTGTCCTTAGCTCCACAGACATGGCCATTAAAACTGATGAAGTTACATCATTTCTTGACATTATTCGATGGAGGTGACAAGAAACAGCGTAATGTTTGGCATGTGTCCCTGGCGATTTCTATTTTTGTTTTATTTTTTAATAGCATCATGAGACTGATAAATGAAATCAGAATAATTTCACAATGTGTCTCTACAAAAGTCTACTTTGGAGGCTATTATTATCATTTCTGTTGAATAAAGTTTTTGGAGAAAATTTGTTGTGAGTTGTACATTTATATTTATGATATGTGTTTTTATGGGGACATGCATGTTAGGAATTTGATTAGAAGTTTTATTATTTAGTTAATTATTTTACTGTTTGCAGCTAAGAATGAAACAGGTAATTGTGGAAGAGAAGCTTAATCTTTCTTCTCTCATATTCAAGAATATACCCCCCTTGACCTGCTCCCCCCCCCCCAATGTTGAGGACCCACACTGAATGAAACTAGGGCAGTGTATAGGGAAAATAAAATGGATTTCACTTAACAGCAAATGTATTCTGGATTCATAGTGGGCTGAAAAAATTGGAGGCAGGTTTATCTGTAAGGAAAAGTGAAGCAGAATAGACATTTGGACTCTGAATTTAAAAACCTGTGTGAAAACCTACGGAGGTATCCAGGGGAAATCATCAAAATGCTAACCTGATTGCAGCTGAAATACTAAGAAATGTTTTCTTAACAGGGTGTTCTATGTAAAAGTGCCACAATGCATATTAAAAATTAATGATGAAAGATAAAGCACAAGATAAAACCAGTGATGCCTGAATCCAGAGCAAGAGAACACATGAGAAGTTTATAGAATCATTTTGTTAATAAAAATAGTATTCAGTGTGGCTGAGTCCTTCTTGCATGCTAGACATCGCCCAACTACATACATAGATTATTTCATCGAATCCTCCTAGCAACAGTTACAAAGCAGATAACAGTCCTGATTTTCAAATGAGGAAGGTGAGTCACAGTGAAGTCAAATAATTTACCAGAGGCATCCAGATGTTAGGTGTGCAGCTGGTTCAGCACTCAGAGATTGCATTCCGTTACACCACGTTCTTGAGCAAGGGTTAATCATGGGAGAAGAATATCAGATCCATCAGTAGGAAGGTTTGGGGTGAGAATTACCTCTCAGGTCATCTATGGATGTCCAGCCCCCAAGAAGAAAAAAACAAAACACAACAAAGTAAACAAAACTTCAGTGCAGCTGCTGGAAGGAGGCAGTTCAGAGATGATGAAATCGAGGAGAGCTTGGATTAGAGAAAACTAGGCCAAAATTTAGCTACTTCTTTTAAAGCTCTAAAGCAGCAGCAGGCATTGCCTAACTCTTTAATGACTTCAGGGAAGGTGGCAATACCATTGTGTTCCATCACTCAAAAGCGCCAGCCAATGTGGTCTTCCAGACCAATTTAGGTGTAGGAAGCCCTTGGGCAGGAAATGGCTTGTTCCTCTTATTTTTATGTATTGAGGGATTCGTTCTTTGTAGAGTACTTACAAAGGTTTCTAGCTATCCCAACCTACTTAAAAAATAAGTGTTTAAATACTTAAGATCATAAGAAAAATGATAATATACTGTTTCGTGTCCGTCTCAGCCTGTGGATTGTTGATGTTATTGGCTAGGAATCACCTGGGTCCGTACTGCTCGCGGCAGCCCCCACAGATGTGTCCCCACCTGGAGCCAATGTTTGGTTCAACTGGCCCTTGTGTTTCTTAGGATTGCAAGGTGCACCTCAGCAACAACCATCAGAGAATTTTGAAAAAACACAAGGTTTATTACTCACAAGTCCTGGAGGGTACACGGCACTCCCAAGGGCCACACAGCAGGTCATGAGTAGTGAGAGAAGGGCCCGCGGACCTGGGCATCTGCCTTCATTAGGGTTGAGGGTGGGGTGCCTGGGGTTTTGTGGGTTCGCTCTTTATTGGTGAATTTCAAACATAGGAGTGGGAATTCGAGTTCGGGAAGGGAAAAGTGGGGTAACTCAAACCATCAGCTATCTGGATTACCCAGGGTTTTCTAAAAAGGGCAACTTCATGGGTGGGAGAGGCCTGACTCTTCATCTAGTTGTTTAGTGCAGCTGGGTCATGCAGCTGGCAGCATGTTTATTTGAGATGGATGTTGGCAATCAAAAGCTTAATGTCCAGCACTTACGCTACATCTACCCGCTTAGTTTTCGTCTGGAGTGTTGTAGGGTGGAGCGAAGTGTGTACGGCGTCTGCAGTCAAGTTACCTGGATGTATATTCTGATTCCAACTCTTAATTGTTGGGCAAACTACCTCACCACTCTCTCAATTTTCTCATCTGGAAAGTGGCGATACCAATAGTTCTTGTTTTGTGGATTACGAATACCTGCCACATAACGAGCATGGTGATAAATGTTGGCTGCTATTCTTATGACCAGTAACTTAGCAGTCATCATTAAAAAACCTGTTTCATGTATGAACACATTTTTCGGCAAGAACACTGTCATTTACTCAGAAATCATAGTTGAAATATATTATTCACTTATGTATTATAGGTATCTTAGGGAGAATTGTAAATCAAATTTTTATCAATTAAATTGAACATTCAGAGCCCTGGGAAACCTGTCCTTTTAAAGGGTCTCTGTTGAACGGAGGGGCTGAGATGTGAGGAGATCATCACTATAAGAGATTATGGTCTAATCCATCTTCATATATCCAGACTTCATATAGGATTTTATAAAAGTGGACCATCCTCATAAAAATGAAATATCTTTTCTAACAACTCACATCTAAAACTGTAGTAGCTCATGATTTAGCATAATGCCTGATTTAAACACAAAATAAGTGATTTTGAACTAAACAATGCTTTCTGTACATGTAAATCTTATATTGCTATTGAAAAACACATAAAAAAATCTTTGAATTTAAATCTTATGTTTTATTTAATTTAGTAAATGAATTATTATCTTATGTTTTATCATTGCTGCTTTTACTCTTCAGACAATATAAATTTTTGTGTCTCCAAAAAGGTGAAATTTGAAGTAAAAAAAAAAAAGCTATTAAGATATTTGAAGACATATTCCTTCTCAAACACAAAAATTGTAACTTAACTTAAAATGTCTACAATCATTTTAGTTATCTTACCAAGACTGTTTATGTTTTGTTCAATTCAGCTTTATGGTTATTTTGGTTAGCATGGTTTGGGCTGCAAGTAACAAAATATATGATTAAAATAAGGTCAGTCTCAAAGTTGGTTATTCAGTGACTCAAGGACTCTGCCATCCTTGTTGGCATCTGTCCTGCATATTATTCCTAGTTTCAACTTGGCTGGCACAGTTTTCTTTAATTTAAATATTTTGTGATCTCTTTTAATCTCATCAAATCAAGAAGAGAATTTACTACCCTTCCTAATATTTCTATTTGCCCTATCACCTCAACAGTTCTATTCCTGCTAACAATGGAATCATCTATTACTTTTTTAAACTTTTATTTTCTCTATCTACCCACCAAATCATAAACACTTGCCTCAATTAAAAAACAAATCCTATCTATCCTGTTTTATTGCCATTTTAATCTATAATCTGTAATCTCGTGACCCCCCCCCCCCAGAAACTGAAACAATCTTCTAGTTAGTTACTTTGGATTTCTTTTGCCCTATCATATTATTTATAGCTACATAGGCTACGTGTCCCAGTCTTGGCTGGGTGGCCTTATGTAGTAGCTGCCCTGTGGGACTTGGCACAGTCTCCCCGGTCACCTGTTCTAGGTGCTCCAGGAGTGTCCCTTGTGTGGGTTGTGGGTGCCCTCCTGTTATAGTTGAGCCATGATTGCTATTGGCACATTAATGGGTGGGATTGGCCATTAAGCTGACTGGTTGTGGGGTTTGGATACATCCTCAGTTTAAGGGCTGCTGTGTGGGGGACTCATCTCACTGAGTGGGATTAACCCCAGTGGGCTCAGGTGCCTGTTGAGACCGCCCTTTTTGTGTGTTGCTTATGGGGCTAATTGGGAGGTATTCTGCTGTGGTCTGAAGCCAACCTCCAGGTATGTTGGCTCTGGTCTAGGCCCAGGTCACCCACTGCCTGTGACCAGTCGGGGACTACCTGGTAGGTGTTCCAAAGTGACCTGTGGTTGTTTGCTGCCTGTGCTAAAGTTGGAGCCATGTGGGAGAGGCCATGCTGCGAACCAAGGATGGCTGCCACCAGTACTGGACATGGGGTAACTCTGCAAAAAGCCAGGACACCCCAAGGCATGCTGCCACCTGCCAGCTCCCTTAAGGTTCGGCCACTGATAAAGCCTTGTGCAGTATGCGAGTTGGGTGAGGCAGGGTCTCTGAGAGCCACTAGAGTGGGAAGGGTTGTGGTCAACAGGTTAATGTAGACTCTGGTTTGGTGCCAGTGCTGAGCCTAGAGCTACTCAGCAAAAGTGTCAGAGCACACTGAGACCAGTCACTGCCTGCCCGGGGCCTGCAGACTCTGATAATTTTCCAAGAAGGAATGCAATGGGCAGGGCTGATTGCTCAGGAGGGAGAAAGTGCCTCAGGCATTGGGAGAGTCAGGTGCAGTGGGGTCCCAGCTGAGCTCACTAGGCTAATCAGATTTAGATTTGGCCTGTGGAGGAGAGCTCAGCATAGGAAAGATGGCGCCTGCCTGCTGGCTGCACAGGAGGAAAACCTCACACAGGGACAACAGCGACCCTCCTCCAGCACTCGTTCTGAAGCCACACTCCTCAGTCTGCCCGCAGTATGCCTCCTACGCCCCCATGAATCACTATCTCTCCACTGGAGCCTGGGGTGAGTGCCTGTGAATGCCTGAGTCTGTGTGCGGGCCATTTCATGGGACGTCTGGGTTTCCTGCAGCCTTCTGTCCCAACCGGATGGTCGGGAGCTAGATGTCGTGGAGGCTCCTCTTTTCAGCACCTGGCTGGGAAGCCTGGTTTGGGACTGGGGTCCCTTGCTCCTGTGGGGTAAACCTCCAAGGTCGAGATATCCCTCCTGATTCTCAAGTGCCACACTGAGGTTTGGGGAGAGCACAGTTTGCATCTCCCTTCCCCCCACCAGTCTCAAGGTGGCTTCTTCTTTATATCCTTAGGCAATTTCTCCTCAGCCAGACTTCAGGTAGTTCTTCAGGTTGATTGTTCTATAATTTAGTAATTTTAATGTGTTCACAGAAGGAAGCACACACAGTGTTTAGCTACTCGGCTATCTTGGATCTCCTCAGGATTGCATTTTTAAATGCAGTTTGTTGATTCCAAGTTA